TCGAACCGACTGGGCCTTGCCGCCTTGGCACTTCGAAATTGTAGTATTTTCCACATCTACTTGTATCGGAATTCGAACTCAGGTCTGTATTCCAACAGTTCAAGGGTGTACCAACTGAGCTAAGCTCGTTGGTTCCATTACCCGCCTGGTACCAGATCCGGCCCCGAAACTGGATGCTGCCAGAGCGCGCGGCCTATGTCCTGCTGCCTAGCCCGCAGCGTGAGCCCAGGTGGGGCGGGTCCCGGTGCGGATCTTGGTGGTAGTAGCAAATATTCAAATGAGAGCTTCGAAGACTGAAGTGGAGACGGGTTCCAAGTGAGCGGCCCCTGCCCTGGTGCCCCTGGTCCACTGTGCCCAGGGCACAGTTCACCATCTTTCGGGTCCCAACGGGCATGCTCACACTCAAACCTCTCACAGCAGATCATGGTTGGCGGACGGTGCACCTGCAGAGGGTTCCTGCCACTCAGGTTTCCTCCGCCTCGCGGGCTAATCACCCTCCGGCTCGCATGCACGTTGAATTCCTCGGGCCGTGTTTGAACAGCTCATGGTTGTATCAACCGGAGCAGGCCCGTTGATCCTCATAGACAGCCTTGGTACCTATACTGGCTGTGTGTCCGATTTGAATTCAACGCGGTTTCCGCGTTGAACAATTCAACGCGCGTTGAATTCGCGTTAAACTCCCATTCAAACGCGCATTGGACACGAATTAACGGGGTCCGCGATGATTTTTTTCTTGGGCTAAAAATTGTCCAAAAAAACAAAACAAAAATGGGGTTGTAGGTTTTTTTGAGGACTACAACCCTGTATTTTTATTTTTATTTTTTTATGTTTAAATATATTTTTAAAAAAATCAAAAACATAAACACACAATGAAAAAAACAAAAACTAAAATGAAATGAGTGTTTTTGTTTTTGGTTTCACACAGATTTTTTAAGGGCTAAAACAAAAAACAGAAAAACAAATAAAAAATATATGGTTGTACATCTTTCAAAGATGTACAACAATTTATTTTTTATTTTATTTTTTTAGAACTTCGTGTATTTTAAAAAAAATCAAAACCATAAAAAAAAAAAAAAAAGGAAAAAAAGACACACACACAAAATTGGGCCTGTAGCAGGTTGCATGAGTCTTGCGTCAGTTGGTTGAGAGAACCCAGGCCCTGGGCCGCATGTGTGAATGTATGGAAAACAGACCCTGGGCTGGATACGGGTACTGGGCCAAACACAGGCCAAAGGCAGATGGGGGCATGCAACCACCTCAGGCCCAAGGCCTGTTCTCGATCGTGTTGGGCCTCAGGCTTTCGGGGCCTACTGGAAGCTTCCTGAGACTGAATACAAGCAGGCCACTTCGATATAGCAAAGGGCCTGCCTCCACATTGGGCATTCGGGCGTTGGCTGCATGTTGCGTAAGCGCTGCCGCGCTGTAGCTCGCTGGCACTCACGCGCTCACGGGCGAGTAGGAAGGAGCAGGCAACCATAGCCGAGTTGCGCTGCTGTAAGCTGGGTGTGGTGCAGGGTGGTCCTTGTGTGCAAGTGGCATCTGTGTGTTGGGGAACGAGGTTGTGAGTAAGGCGAGAGACCTACCTGGTGCTGGAAGCGTGCGACATTGGTCGCTGTATGCTCGTACTTCGGGAAAGTTGTTGACGTTATCTTCGACATTGTAGTCTACACTAGATAGGAGCTGACATCTGTAGTCTGGGTGCCGAGCGCTAGATAGGATATCAACATTGGTTCTTCATTGACGATGATGATGAGACTTTACCAGCATTGTCAATTATGAGCTCTTGGTGTCTTCTTATTTGGTGAAACTCGTGATGCAATTCTGTTGTTGGTTCGAGGTCCCGACTATCTGGTCTTGTGTATATGATGTTGTTTGATTGCTGAAGTTCGCTATTGCTCATCTTCCTTGCACAGTAGAAGAGAAAAA